CACACTGTGTGATTTCAGCAATCTTATAAAATCATTACCGATCACACTGTGCGATACGGATCTAATAATCTTGGCTATGACAGGTATGCAGACTGTACGACGACAACACCAACTCAATCATAAGATACGGCGCATAGGACAACAAAACAAAATGTAAACACTGACCATGCGTAAACACCACAATGAATCGTGTACCGCGCTTTAAAGCCACACTGGCACTTCTGATCCCGTTGACAGAAAATGTGCCGTCCTTCAATATGCTAAGGTTATTGGTAATTTATGTTAGGTTTGATATTAGCACTCCCGACATCCTATGTCGTATTGAATTTTGAAAATTCACTAACTAGCTATAACCCCTGGATGATGCAGCCTTACCACTCTGCTAATCCATTTTATTTTACAGTGCTGCGAAGACAGTTTTAGGCTACTCCGCGATTTGTGATTGAAAAATTGATTTAGACAGAGTGATTACACAATCAGCTGAAATTGCATATTCTGTCTGATGCAAGAACTGTTCAGAAGTAAAATGGAACCATTTATTTCCGCAAGTATATAAAATGTTTGTATCATAATGTAATCCTGAAGTGTCACGGAGTGCTCAAATCACTCGCAGTTTATCTTGTTTTGACTCCCAAAAAGTTTATATTATGAACACACATTAGAATTTAACAACCGATGGCTGAAAATTTACATTTTAGGTATATTTTATGTAACCATTAATGTTATGACTTCATGTATTGAAAGGAGTTTGACAGTAGTCAGTGTTTAGTACTGCTGTAAGGTAAACACTACCAGGTTACAAAATTTCAAAATGGTTAACAGTTGAGAATATTCATTCATAATTTAAAAAAGTAATCAAAAAGTAATCAAATGTAATTAGTTACATTACTTTCATATAGTAATTGAAATAGTTACTCTATTTAAAATGGAATTGTAATGAATTACATTTCCAAAGTAATCTTCCCAACACTGCTCAGTACAGCGTGATTTTCAGCTCAGAGTTGGGTCACAGCTATATTGCGTGTGTCACCAGAAACGAAACCAAAGTTCTGTGAGGCCAGACCGGTACCGGGCGTTACGGGATGCCGTCGATAAGAAATTGCTGCAGTTAGTACAGCACGCTTTCGCGGGGGAGCATAGTGATTGGGCGGTGCCACCTGTATGCATTTCGAAGAGAGATGATTCGGTGCACATGTATATGCGCATAAGGTGAGACTTCTTTTCTATGCTAATGGGTGAAAAACATTTTATGAAACTGGATTTGACGCAGGCTAATACACAATTGTAGTTGGATGAGAAAAGTAAGCCATTTCTCACCATTAATACACAGAGAGGTCTGCATGTCACCATTTGAAAAGTGTGTGGTGTGGCAACGTGTATACTAATGTCTCCACATTTAACACAATCTTATAGTACGAATGCCCATGAACTCCTTGTGTATGTCGTCCAACAAGGCCGGCACATATATAGTGAAGAAATCCTGGTGTACAATGTGCACTCACTTCACCTCACAGCTGATGCCACCACATATGGATCATTTGACACATGCATTGTGCTACCTGCACCACCTGAAAAAGATGGTTAGATCGGGAAACCAAGCCCTAATTCAAGTAATAAAACGGCTCCAAGAACGTTGACAGATTCAAACGCCAACAACTGAAGAGGAACCAATACATATGAAACATCCTAATAATGTTTACAACATCCTGCTGTGAAGTTCTAGAGAGGACCAACTCAGGAAAGCTCTTATGTAGAGTTGAAATCATACCTTTCCAAGCCATGTGATTCAAAGATCTATAAACCTTTATATGTGGTCCATGAAAGATGGAGGTTCTAGGCAGAACAAGCTTACAAGGGAGGGCAATGACCCTCGAAGATGTTCTTTTCTATCCTCCATGATCTTGCTTAACAAATGAAATTAAATATGTACATAGTATTATTTTTTGTCATTGTCATATATTTTCTCATTTCTTAAATGCTAGTGCTATTAACCCTCTTTTAAGGAGTGTTTTCCTTTTTGTAAGACAGGTCTGTTTCTACGTAATTCTTTTTTTAAAAAATAAGTCAATTGCTGTGGCTCCTGCCTCCTGGGTAGCGGAGATGAAAGGGGTAAGGATACACACATGTAAAAGTCCATAATTTGTGAAAAGTGACACGTGATTAACTTTTTTGTGAATTGTTTTAGGTTCTGAATGTGTAAATGGACTGTCTCATCCAGATTCAGGACAGAGAGTGAAAGTAAACATGTGACTGCTATTTCCTATATTGCTCCACTGTTAATGTAAATAGATCATATCTCATACTCTGCATATTCTGGATCTTCCTGAATGTATAGGTGACGATGAGGTGCCACTAAAACAGAGGAAAAAATCATCTCCTTGAAACCCCTCTCAAAATCCACCAAGGGCTCCATAAGATTCCGAGTTGTAAGTAGGGCTGCAACTATCGAGTATTTTTGGAATCGAGTATTCTGTCTTTTTTTTTTTCTTCTTCATGGAGTAATCGGATAACTCATACTTTTATGTTTTTAAACTATATCAATATTGTGTTATGCAACATGAAAGGCTGCTTAAAATGAGCATACAATTGGCTGTTATTCCTCACAAAAAAAGGTTTTTATTCAAACTCAACACTTTTATTAGATCAAAGCTTAAAACCTTTGGCTTATTGGCTCCAGAACTAAGCCCATTTAATCAGCCTTTCTGTGAAACATTTATGATGTGCATGAAAGAAAACTATGAAATACAACTTCACAAACATAGGCTAACCTATCTGTCCTTAGTTTTATTTTAATTAAAACAGGAAAATGGGGTGTACCCCCTGCTATAGCCCATCTGAGAATAAAGAAGGAATAAACAAAGTATAAAGGTACAAAATAGTAAAAAGAAAATATAAATAAACCAAGTATTACTAATAATCCAACTTAAACGCAACAGTTCAGTTTCCAATTGTATCCAGATGAGGTAAGTAGGTAGAGTGGAATGTTTGTCTTTGGGCAATGCTACGTGCAAGGTAGTTAGTGCTTGTCTTAGAGCAGTGCATGTGCAAAATAGAAAGAGAGAGAATTTGTCTTGGTACATGTGTGTGCAGTGCATGTGCAAGCCTTTAAAAGAGCAAGTGGTGGTTACAATGCAAAAAGGTCAGCATATTGACATGGTCAGAAGTAAGGCTTGCCCTACGCTTTGAGCCAATGTTCCCAGCAGCAGAGAACAAACGCTGTGAGGGCATTGAGGTGGCTGGAATAATGCAAGCTTTGCCAGGTTTGGGTTTCTTGCTGCATTTTCTCTCCACCATGGCAGTAGATCCTCTTTTTTGGAGAGAGGATGTTCACCAAAAAATTGAAAGACCTCCCTCTGCACCTCTTGATTTTGCTTCTCATTCTCCCCTACACTGCTATTGGAGTTTGATGATGATTTGAGAACATTGAGAAATGATCCCTTGGCTTGAGTAGCAGGGTGGTCTTCTATGTTGGTGGTGGATTCATTTCCCCTTTCATTGGACTGTCTTTCTTGCCTTTTGGTTAGTGCCATTGTTTGAATTATGCTTTGGACCTTAAATGATTCTTCAAAAGGTAAGACCTTAAGTTTTCTGAACCGGGGGTCCAAGGCAGCAGCAAGGAGGGCAATGTTAGGGTCCTCAGGTTTAAATACAAACAGGTCTTCCCACCTGTCAGTTACCTGTTCAGCGGCAAGACCCTGAAATGCCCTCACTGGTGCAGTTTCAAAAGCTGAACTCGGGGTGGATTTTTTGAGGGTCTGTGCCAGCTGTGGAACCACAGACCGGGTCACATATTGTTCCCCGCTCAGGAACACTGTAGCCCCCTCGAAAGGTTCAAGGATCTGAGTCAGCTCTTCAGTCATGAACCACTGCTCCGGCTTCAGATCCAAATAGTGATGCTTTTCCTGTGGGTTGACTGTAGGATCGGAAAGAGCTGCAGTCACTGGCCATCTCTGTTCGAGGAGCCTGGATAGCATACAAAGTGTACCGTTCCACCAAGTACTGACATCCTGTACCAACATGTGCTGCTGCACTGCCATTTGCTGCTGCTTCTCTTTAAGTTTTGTGCAGGCTAATTCGCTCTTTTTGAAGTGCTCCACCAGGCATCTCGCGGAGGCCACACAACTCGAGATGGCTTTATTTTTCAGTGTGTACCCTGCACATCTAACAGAGGCCCATCTGTGTCTCTCTCTAAGAATTCTGGCAGCTGCCACTACATTGGCCCCATTGTCATGGACAACTGCCTTCACCTTTTCAAAAAACCAATCAGCAATGTTTGTGGCTGTATGCCTCTCCTCCAGAGGCATTGTAGTAAGGGAGAGGGACTTCATTTCCCAATCATCTCCCAAAAACAACCCCCAGATTAGCCTCTGTGGCCACACTCACTGTTGTGAGTGCAACACAGTCTGTCTCCTTAAGAACACACTTTTGAATTTCTCTGTTATTTCTGAGTACTTTTGCTCCATCATATTTGTGAAATGTGTTCTTGTGGGAATGGTGTATTTGGGATTGAAAGCTTTAATCATATTCTTAAATCCCGTGTCCTCCACCATGGACAATGGGTGGATGTCTGTGATGAGCATATTCAATGTTGGTAAAAACTGCAGCTGGGGGGGGAATCATTGATTTGTACAACAAAAGTAAATCTATATGCTGATGAATGTAGATTCGTCCGTCTTGCATTTATTATTACTACCTTATGTATGGGGAAGGCGTGTTTTGAGATGTAACCTATCAGAGTGTGTGTGCACAGCACACGCGGGAGGGGAGATGAGGGATGAAGTACATGAGGGAGATCTTGGGGCATTTGCTCTCTTGCTACTTGTGCCTCGTCACTATCGACTCATAACACAGGCTACAAATAATTACAAATACTGTACGTTCTAACAAGAGCTAGTGTTCATATCAGTTAGCAATCGTAAAAATACGATACCTTGTAGAAGCTCCGAGTCCGCTTGGAGAAGTGCAGTTCACTTTAAGATGCTTTCGTTTCAGTTGCTGCAGCATTGACAAAGTACTATTATGGTAGGCCAGGTCCGTTTTACAGTGTATACACTACGTTGTCCACCTTATGCAGCGTAAAATGGTCCCACACTTTAGAGATTTTCTGCCTTTTACGCACACTGGTATCTTCATTTTCCTACATTGCCATAGAGAGCAAAAATAAATCGCGCCGCCTTAAATCTTTGAAATGCGCTTCAGTTAAAACAGTCAGTGTAAAACAATGATACCGGTGCTGCGCAGTAGTCTACAAAGTGGGAGTGATACGATAATAGATGGACTTTGGTGACGAATTAAACGAAGCCTCGAGGCAAAGAATTTACCTTGAACATTTTTTGTAATTGAATCATTCGAGTTACTCGAATAATCGTTTCAGCCCTATAAGTAAGAGAAATCACTTTTGGTGTAATTTCACATAAGCTACAGTGCCTTACATACAGTATTCCACCCTGCACCCCCTGAAAGTCATGACTTTCTGGTTTACAAGCTTATACATAAATTTTCCCAGTCTGTATTTTCTCTGTGAACGTTAATGCTCTAGTATATTTCTAAAAGGCAAAAAGTTGTGTAACAACTGAAACTACCAACACCACCTACATTACTAAGTAAGAAACTGCTCCTTTTATTTTAAACTAATTACACATTACCTGAACACAAGATGACTATCTGGCCAGTTAGGGCACTTTTCCACCGCACCAGGTACCGTACTTTTGGTACTTCCATAAAGTACCAAAAGTATGGTGGTACTTTTGTTTTGGTTTTCCACTGCCGTAAAAACTGGTACCGGCGCCAAATGACATCAGTAATCGCCCCTGACTGACATCATCACAAAGCGCGACGCGGTATTTCTTTCGCTGGATCTAAACATGTTATGCTCCTTCACTTTCCTGTAGTCCTGCTTAAGTTTTTTGATTTTCAAGCGGCATTGTTCGATGTTTCGCATGTGCCCCATATCTTCCAAGCGGCTTGCTATTATGGCAAATACTTTTTTATTTCGAGTCGTGTCATCCAAATCCCGCTGGATCTGTTCATTCGACCATATGGCGATTAAAGCCTGTTTCCCCTCGCTTGTCCATCCTTCCGTTTTACTTTAATATTTTTGTTTCTACTGCTTTTTATTTCGTTTCTGGTTGTTCGCTGTGTGTATTTTGTGTTTCAACGGCAGGCTATTTGCATAACCAATGGACAGCAAATATGTTTGTAAGTCCCACCCCGAAGTACCCCAGCTGGTTTGGCACTTTCGGTACTGGTACTTGACCGGAAGTCAATGGAAAAGCAAAAGTACCGTATCAAAAGTACCGTACTTTGTGCGGTGGAAAAGCGCCCTTAGCTGTACGTTAAAATTCATTATGTAACTGACTGAAGTTTATATCATTCTTTCATTGTCTGTTCTCAGATAAACCATCTACTCAAAGCACAACTGCCCCGAGTGTAACTTTTCAGATGTTTATCCTTCAAATGGTATGTGTGTTCGGCTTCTACCTGTCTATTGACATTAAATAATGTTTATCATATTGAGTAACGTGAGCAGCTTAACTAAAACTGGCTGTGAAATCATGCTCAGTGTTGTGCAATTTTAAACGAAAATTTGACCTATGCATAAGTCTGTGAAAATATGAAGAATGGTCACAAAATTTTGTTTAACATGCAGTAATCATAGCAATAGAATAAAATTTCTTAAAATTATCAATATATATCTATCCATGTATCTATCTTTCTATCTACTTAATCACTATCCCTTTATTTCTATCTACCTCTTATGTAATCTGCCTTTTTTTCTACCTAATCACTATCCTTTTATTTCTGTCGATCTAATCTTTGTGCATTTATTGCTAATCACTATCCCTTTATTTCAATCTAATCTTTATGCCTTTATTTCTATCTCTATATGTATCTTAATGTATATCAATCTATGGATTATTTCTATGTATCTGTTTTTCAATCTACCTATTCTCTATGCCTTTATTTCTACGTAATCACTATCCCTTTTTCTATCAATTTATGTATCTATCCTTCTCTTCTGAATCACTATTCCTTTATTTCTATCTATATATCTAATCTCTTTATTTCTGCCTAATCACTAGGCAGCGTGAGGAATGACCATGACAGCACAGCCTGGCTCCCACCGCAGGTGGCACAAGTCAGCTCCACCTCTGCGTCCTGTATCAGCACACAGCAGTAGTCAGCGAGGAGTGCCTTCTACCAGGACCATTACGGCGCAACACTGCTGTGTGTCTGTACCAGCTAGACAAGAGTGCCGTCAGTGGTTGTACAAGTGTGTGTTTCTTTGGAATACAGCTAGTTGTAGATGCTGTGCATGCAGAACCACAGACACCTTGAAATAGTTCCCCAAGAGGTCTTGCACAGAGACGTGTGGGATGACATCCAAGGACAGATGATTGAAGTCCTCCACCCTGGTGGACTGTACTCCACAGCTGCCAGAAACCAAGAAGAAAAGAGATACAAAGAAGCAGAGTATTTCGTAAATTTTGAATCACAAACAACTGGACCTTCGATAAGAACTGGATCCCTGACACAGGTGTTTTACTGCTTAATGTCTTTGTGGCAGCAGTATGCAAGTGCTTCAGCCAGGTATTTAAAACCAATAAAACCTGCAGGGTGTACCTGGCACAAGTCTTCTGGCACAGCATCTCAAAGCCCAGGTTTCCCTCAGCAGGACAGGTGTAGATAGATGTCCTCTCCCAGGCCTGGATTACGTTTCCCAGTTCATTCAGCCTGTATATCAGGCAGCTGAAGAACTCATGGGCATCCTAGATGACTTAGGGGGGATGTCCTGTGTCACCACTGGAGGGGACTGGTGCTCCTCTACACAGCTATCGGTCGAGGAGGTGCTAGATGTCAGTGACTTGGAGGAAACGAGAACAAATTCTGTTTTAGACAGGGAAACCAAGATACTGCTGTATTCTAAAATCACACTGGAACTATCTCTGATCTGTGTACCTCCGAGTTGACAACGGAGAGGCTGGGACTCTGGCCGCTCGAGAGTGCATTGCTGTCTCCAGAGTCCCTGCAGTCACCTGACAACCCTCCGTCTTCGTCAGAGCTAGAACAGCCAGAACTGCCACCGTGAGCGGAGAGTTCAGGTATGAAAGTGACTGAAAAAAGTTAGAGCTCTAAGGAAAACTGGGGCACTACCTCTCCTTCGCTCTCGACTTGACAAGTTTCAGCCATGGAAACTTGCGCTGGAACTTCAGTCTTCTCTTCTGGGGCTTATCGACGTCTGCCCCTTCAGCAGCAGAGATGTTGCGTTGCTGTTTTACAGAAGATGAATCAGTGTATGGAAATGAGTCACTGTATACAGAGGCAGAGATAAAGAGTATATGCCCTCCCAAATGTCACCACCTTTAGGCT